CAAGGGTGCAGGCAGTACAAACGGAAGTCGACCATGTGCTTTTGAGGAGGTCATCCCTCAAAACTGTTAAAGACATCAAGGTGCTCTCCTGGTGTAGAACTGGGCCCTCAACAAAGAACCCTTCTGGCAGACATTGCCCTAGATCTCCCAAATAATAAGAGGGTAAAAACTGTGAAGAGGATACACTGATGGAAGTTACGCCAAGTGGAGAAAGACGAGCTCGGGTAGGATAAGAATGGTACGATCGCACCTCGTTAACGACTTCTCGCACCTGGATTCGAGGCATAATTAGCGAGGTGCGAAGAAACCTCATTAAGCCGATTAGCGAGGTGCGAAGCGACCTCATTAGCCGAGGCACGTCGTGCTCAACTGCAGCTGACCTCACTTCAAGGAAAAGCTATTAAGCTATCCAAATCGGAATAAATCCATTGCAAGATTTCGGTAAAGTGGGTAAAAAGATTGCCATATATTTCATATATTTATTATTATTATTATTATTACTTAAACAAGAACAAGTGTACAAATTATTATCAATAATTAACAAATGTATTATACAGTTTTGTTTGTGACGAATTGAGACATTTTTATGCAGTAGCACTCTATTTGGGCACTAGATACTCCCTGCTGATAAAGTTCGTTGAATCTGAAAATAAGTACAGTGTCTTTGAGAGGTGCAATGAAGAAAGGGATCTGAAAGGTGTCCTACTTTGCCATTTCCTCAGATATTTTCTCTTTCCTCGCCATGTACACCTCTCGCACTGTCTTAGCGTCCTCTGGTTTTCACTCGATTTCTTCCGATTTCGATAACTCAATGATCTCTCATTGAATGAGGTCACTTCGCACTCGAGCACGATTTCCCCCCTGCTTAAAGGCAAAGCCCGCGACCACAGATTGTGGGTAACGGAACCCACATAGGAACGAAAAAGGGCTAGGTATCTGATTAGCGGAGAAAAGCAGCAGAAAAACAGCCGAAAATGCCCTAAATAGGATTCCATATCGACCCCAACTTGTACATGCATGCAATGAAGAAAACGCATGTTTGTACGAATTTCCACTCGTCGTTATCATAAAGATATCAGCTCTTTTATCGTATCACCTCACTCTCACCATTCGGAATGGAGAGAGATAGCATAGTGGCTACTAGCTAGTAGCTAGCAGCCGGTGGGGTCGGCATGGGCCTAAGGGGCGCCCATGGGCCTAATTGGTTAGCTTAAAGCGGAATTCTTGCCGATTTTCACTTTCTAAAGGTAGCGCAGCCTCCGCAATCTCCTTCCGGATCGTCTGACACATTTGAAAGGTCATAGCCTTATTTTATCGCGGAAAGTGCCTTTAATGAGGTCGCTTCACACCTCGTTAATGATGTCTCGCACCTAGGGGCGAGGCATAAGCGAGGCATAATTAACGGAGGTGTGATCGTACCATTTTTATCTAACCCGACGAGCTCAGAAGGAAGGGTCCTATGGACTGGTGTCCTAAATACTCAGGGACCAGTCCACGACAGACATCTGCCGCGTTGGTCAAGACAGGGTCGGGACAGATCCTGTCCGGACCAACGCAGCAGATGTCATAATCCGGTGTGCTAAAGTACGGGAAGGGCGCGAAGGGGAACCAAGTGAGACACGGCAGCGTGGTTCTGTAATGAGGGAGTCCAACCGGTGGAAGAGTGAAGCGTAAAAAAAGAAGACAAGAACTTCCAGAAGATCTTGCTGTCTACAAGAGTTGCAATGACGCGAAGGCAGCCGGGTAGTCAAGGCGAGGGACACGGAAATGGACGTCCTGCACGACAAATTGGACAGCTCAGTAGCAGACAAGTTCGTCTTCCGGCTGGCTAACGCTCGCTATGCTACCAAGATATCAGGGTAGTGACGGCTGTGGTGCCTTTCTGAGGAAGCCAGTCGAAGTCTCCAGTTCCAGGGCAACCAGCTTGCGGTACGTACACGGTTACAGTTGTCTAGTACCCCTTCTTACCCATTCTCACTGCCATGATTCAATCGCTGATCCTGCTCACAGAGGAAACGCAGCTCTAAAAGACACATGGTATGATCACACATAGTTTGGTGTGCGTGACTATCAGCCCCCAGCTGTCGAAGCGTAGCGGTTTCCCCGTCCTAACATGCGCAGGAATGGAGATACAGGACCGTGAAACACGCTAATTCCTCCATGCTCCGCCCAATGCTTTTGCGGCGCAGACTCCCGCTGCTAACAGCCGTCCGCGCGGCGCGTGTCGCGCGCAGCGCTCTTGGCACTTTGCCAAGTCCTGTAATTGCGCTTTGGAATACAAGTAAAACGCAATTTCCTGATGCGGATAACATTTTAGGTGCTGCAAAATAAGAACCGAAGATGATGACGAGGGCCAGAACTCAAGAGCAACTGTGCTGCTTCTGCAATATCCCTCGGAGGCCGCGCATTCCCACAAAACATGAAAATAAAAACGGCCTAAGCGTCCCACTCGTTAGTTTGAAGTATTTTTATGGCTTTAGAGCCAGAATCGCGCCGAATTGCAGAAATTTACACGCGACTTTAATTAAGTTATTTACCCTTGATTTTTTTTGTTTTATTTACATCTACATTCGTTGTTCTTCATTTCTAGCCTTTGTCATCTTCATCTATTCGGACTTTGCAGCATGAGCAACACCTCAAATGTTATCCGCATCAGGAAATTGCGTTTTACTTGTATTCCAAAGCGCAATTACAGGACTTGGCAAAGTGCCAAGAGCGCTGCGCGACACGCGCCGCGCGGACGGCTGTTAGCATAAACGGGAGTCTGCGCCGCAAAAGGCATTGGGCGGAGCATGGAGGAATTAGTGTTTCACGGTCCTGTATCTCCATTCCTGCGCATGTTAGGACGGGGAAACCGCTACGCTTCGACAGCTGGGGGCTGATAGTCACGCACACAAACTATGTGTGATCGGTGTCTTCGAGCTGCGCTACCGCTATGGCCACCCCGTTCCGCTTGACGTCTCCACCATTGCAGATGAGTTTGACCCCTTCTTCAATCTCACGACCCTTGGCTCCTTTCCAGAAGACACAGGACTTGAATTTTTGTTTCGTTTCATCAGATCAGTGAATTCTTGAGGTTTCCCGGTCAGCGATCCCACGTTCCTGATCCGAATAAGCTTCTTTGGGCGGAATCCTTCGCGCGCGCGTCGTTCCGCGTGACGTCCTAGCAGTATCACTAATCTTTTTGCGACTTTCAATCAAGATTGCGGGGTTCTTCACCAGCCGTCCTCTCAACCTGGGTTTGACGCTGGCACCGGCACCACTATTGAATTTGCGAGGCATGGTATTTTGCCTCGACAGGGATTGAACTCGCGGCCTTTTCGAGAAGCGAACATGAGACCACACTCCTAACGGTCGGCTGTCCCTGCCTTTTACTATTGCTATGCCCCGTCGACTTACAATTCGACGTGAAGCGCGGTCAGACTGTTCGCTCAGCCGCATTTGCAGCTATTTTGCTTGACTGACGAGCACAACATCTTAGGAAGATGCCCCTAGGAGGTTCAAAGTCTCAGCTTCCACTCGACCATTTTCCTCCATCAGTCGTCGCACTACCTCGCGGTATGAGCGGCTCATCTCAGTCTTAGTTCCCATGAACTCTGTCGGATTACGTGTGTATGACATCTTGCGCAGGTCAGAATGGAGACACGTATTATGTGGACAGATTAAACCTCACAAGATAATGCTGGAGCGCTCTGTGGATTGCAGGTAGAACGTTAAAGGCAGTTCCACACTTCATAGGTAATACAGTTCAAGAATAGAACTGCCCTGTGATTGTTGACTTATTGAAGAGAAGGAACCACGAAAAAGCGCCCGCAATAAGACCCTCTTTATTTCATGATCACCGGACGAGCGTAAGGTGGTCAAGATCAATTGTGGATTGCAAAAGGCGGCGATACACTGATAAGAGACGAGAGAGGCCAGAAAATGACGGGCGAGAGAGCGCAATGGCAATGTCACAACGACACGGTCACTGGAGGCCGGCATGGGCCTATCGGGCGCCAATGGGCCTAAAACATGAGCGCCGTGCGTTCTGCTTGCTGTTTTTCAACTTTTAAAAGCAGCATATCCTCTACTGTTGCCTGCTTGATCATCATGCACGTTTATGAGGTTCTAGCCTTAGTTTATCGCGGAACGTGCCTTTAAGTTTGAATTTGAATTGAAAACGAACGTCGAAAGATTTAAAATGCAGAAGCACCCTTTTCAGCAGGAAAATAAAGTACAATGATAGCGCGTTCACCCACTGATCTGGTAATTTTTCAACATGCTTAATAACAGATGACTCGTCGTAGAACGGATCTCGATCGCCTCCATAGCCAAGGTATCGTTCCGTGTAAGCTGTGTCGTAAAGCTTCCAATCTGTCACAGCTCCCCCAGCTATAGCAGCACGAAATATCTGGAACTCGCTTTTGTAATGTATCAAGTGTATCGAAATAGTCGCGAAAACGAAACTTGTCGATTTTGAAACTAACATTGGGAAACTTAGCTAAAGCCAGTAGCGACATGTAGCCTCCGTAGCTCCAGCCTTGAACAACAACTCTCGACAAATCCAACATTCCATCCATGAGCTGCGCCACCTCTCTTAATCCCTCAACCTGATCCTCTATTTCGCACTGTCCCTGAAGCTATCAGTTGTAAAACAAAACGTTAAATGTATTATTAGGGTGTCCACAAAGTTCGTTGGCCATTTGTAAACAGCGTCGCGTTACGCAACGCGTTGTGATTTTGCATAATGATTTCGCAATACTGAAAGTACTCGCGATGGGCTATCTTCTGAGCTAGCTAGCTCTAATTTCCTTTCCTGCTCTTCCACAATAAAGCAGTGAAGATGAGTGATAGTCACCACCACCGCCGATGTTTGCTGGACTACTACAACCTGGGCATCTCCAGACGTCAGGCCACGACCAGGATGCGTCAGCAGTTTGGTGATAACACCCCTTCTAAGAACTGGATGTCAAAATGGTGGACTCGCTTCACCAATGAAAACTATGGCATCGAAGATGCCTTCTGTTTCTGGTTCTCTCGCCACGGCGTCGTCCACTACAGCATCCTACCCAACAATGCCACAGTGACGGCAGAGACCCTCTCTAAAGAATTGCAGGAGGTCAAGGTGAAAGCTGCCGCCTTGTCCCAGAAATCCGTGGTTGCTCTGGGACAACGCGCGCCCCCACAAAGCGAGAGATACTCAGGCACGCATCCACCGTATAGCCCGGACATCAGTCCATGCGATTACCACATCTTCCGGTCCATGCAAAATTTCTTGGACGGAAAACAGCTGAAGAACGAGCGCGACCTCGAGGACGTGATCGAGGACTGGGCCGAGTCGCGGCCGGCCAGCTTTTGGGAGGATGGAGTTGCCTCTCTACCCGATCGTTGGCGAAAGGTAGTGGGTATGCATGGAGATTATATCATGGACCGGTAAGTTCAACTTGGTGAGTTATCTTTACCAGCTCTGAAAAAACGAATGGCCAACGAACTTTGTGGACACCCTAATAGCAGAACTACTCACAAGTCGGCCGAAAATGGGAAATTCGAAATCAGTTCCTCGATTACTCGATCCACGGCCATCCAACATTACGACAACAAAACCCAGTTTCGTGTACTTTTGGAATGGAATCCACCTTCAAACAATTAAGACACTCGACACCTTCAATTTAACCAAAACTTCCGAACGACTGTGTTTCACATGAGCATGCGCTTATGACAGCAGGCTCCTGTAGTTCTCATTCAGTTCACTACTCATAAAATTCGCATCAAATACTCCTAAATACTAATGAAGACCTAGGATACCAGGGAACCACTTAAAAGGCAACGACATAAATAAAGGGAAGGCCTTCAAGCTGCTAAGTCCGAATGAAGACGTGGCTGAATGAGTCAAGCCCGGAATTCATGTAACAAGTTTTAGAACCTAAATTACTACCTGATTATGACAAGAGATCTAAGACCGGTTAGAGTTTGTCCAAAACAGTATATCAGTAGAACTGACTCGGCAACTTTGGAGACAGCCCCCGCGCTCGAGTAGTACATGGTCGTCCTTCCTTGTGCAAGTAGTACAGCCCCCAAGCTAGAGACTGTCCCACTCTATTCGTCTGCACAGCGAGCGAGAAGCGAGCTACAGCCGCTGTAAGTTCTAGTTCTAACGCCTGCTCAGTTGGACCGCCTTACTTGCTAGATGTCCTCCGACGGAGGCCACTCAGTTGTTCTTAGTTGGGGCGGCGGGCATTGCTAATGCCCATGGATAATTCTGCTCCCCTTTATTACAGTTTACTCATTGGAGGTATATACATTCAATTCAACTCATTTCGCGAGGTGAAACGCGTAAAAAGCACGAGTGACGCAATTTTCGTGATGCAAAACCTCGACGCACAAAACGTGCGCTACCGTAATCCCAAATTCAGACACCGCGTTGATAAAATTCCTTTTTCCTTCCAAGAGTTTTTCCTCTGCGTTTTTGTTGTTTTCTTTTTGTATTCTTTTTTTTGCACTGGATGATATCAACTACTGCGAGATGTGATAGAGATTTGTGAGCTAGGGGTTGCACAGAGACCGCAGGGAGGTGTGACTGTGAGGGAGCGATTTTGTTTATGTTGTTCTGGAGGACGCTTCTTGCCTGTTTTCTTCTTTGGGAGATTACTTATCAGCTACTGTTTCATAATTGGAAAGCAGCTATCCATGAGACTTTTATCGCGGGAGCTGTCTTTAACTGTCGCTCTAGTTTACTGGTAAAGCTGCCGCTTTACAATGGCACGCAATCTATCCAGCCACGTTAACATGAAAGTTTCTTCTCTCCAACAAGAGGTTTCGCTCGAATTATTAACTTCCTAAGTACAATCCCTTAGCAGAGCGTATAGGTCAAGGGTTTGATGTAGGAGATTAAAAAAAATTAGCACTGGAGACCCACACCTGCGGCGAAGGTGCTGACGCTAACGTTCCGCCCAGCACTGGCAATTGCAACGCCTTCTTAGTTTGCTAATAACGCTGTGCCTCTATAGGTTTGAAGTGGAATAATTCACTAAACGGCCCAAATTTTCCACGGGATCGTCTTCTCCAGAACCGAGAACTAGTTCAGAATTTAAGATTTATGAACCATACCCATCAAGGGCCCAGTCGGTGCTACAGCTCCGATGTTGTGTTCGGTTCAACAAGAAATCTCTGCACAAGATGGAAAGAGCATTCACTAGGGTGCCAGTCCCGCTGTCACATGCGGATGTTGCTTACTAGGGAAGGTCGTCAGGTCGAAGTGGCCATTTGTAATGAGATGTAGCTCACTAGACGTGGTTTTGGACGCTGATCTCGAATCTGCCTTCGAAATTTGCAGAACGATTCTCTGAACGGAATTATGAAGGTTTGTTAGAATTAAAATGAAGGAAACAGAGTCGAGCGCGGTTGCCAGGCCATTCGCATGAATAGCCGGGAAGCACCCTTACGTTCAACGGCGGCATGGTGTAGTGGTAATGGTCTTGCTTCGCGGGCATGCCATGAAGGGTTCGGATTTCTGGAAGGAACTTCTTTTGCATTTTGTGGGGAATGTCTCTTTTAAGTCTAGAAAACACTCAAACGCCAAATGGGTGCCATATTCGTGTTCAGGGAGCAAAACTACCCTTGGGGACAGGTTTCTAGCCAGATGTGAGGTTTTGACCTAACTTTGAAAAGTGCGGTAGCAGTTGATCGAATGATGGTCACCAATAGTTCCAGGGCCAGTCTCTTGTCGATTGCTTGTCTTTGGACGGAATTTGCTTTTAGATACCAGGAAAACTGGAGCAGTAACAACATGAATGCGTAAGAAGTGGCAAGACGAGGCTTTGTGCAGGAGAATGTATCTGCAGCTGAATAGGTGTGAACATCAACTGAACTAACCCATGGATGCTTCACTTATGGAAGTCAAGGTCAAAATGAGGCTAGAAACTTGTATATAAAGGTATTTTGACCCGCTGAACACGAATATGACACTCGCTGAGCGCGAAAACGCCTGTATCGCGCACGACGGGCACCTGTACGCCCCAATCTTTTCCTGCACTACAAGGCTTCTACAAGGAGCCCAAGCGCAGTAATAAATGGACGCAAACTTTTCTTCAGGCAAGTTTAGGTGAGAACTGAAGTAGTAGTGACGGCAAAATCACTTTTTGCCACGTTTGCGCAACAAGCAAAAAAGTTAAGCTCAGCAGGGATCCGATCCCATGACCTGTTGCGTGGTAAACGCGGCTCCATAACTCCGTTCAGAGAATCGCTTTGCAAATTTTGAAGGCAGATTCAAGATCAGCGTCCAAAACCACGTCTAGTGAGCTATTAGGTTGTTCGAAAAGTCCTGCGACACTTTAAGGATATCGCTTGCCATAGCAGAGAGTTCCTTTTGCATCAGCGCTTCCAGGCTGGACTTATTCAACTCGGAAGTAGGCAATGTATAGGTCGGCCACCAGCACAGAATGACGGCCCTTTACTCAAGCTTCTTGAGGCGCAGCCGAACGTAACCACCAGTAAGTTGGCAACCTCTCTAGGCTCCACCTAACTGACAACTGCCATGCTTCTCCGCAGTCTCGGTTATCGGAAAAATTTTTTATGAAGGATGCCTCATGAGTTGAACCCCTCTGACAAGTCATACCGAATGACCGTGACTGAGTTTTTTTCCTTGTACACACTGGAGGAACATTTGTGAGATCTTGTGGTTGGTAGAGAGTGGTGGGGTCCTTGCGTACATCTTGCACATGTTCCTCGCAGGATCTCTCAAACAGAAAAGTAGATTGCACAGCCAAAAGCAGATGTGCATGGGATAAAGATTTCAGTAGGTTATTGGTGGGACTTCAAAGCGGTATCTCTGGATACTAGCATAACGGTAAGGACTACAGTCCACTCTAACCAACCTCACAACATGGATGACGTCACGCTTGAATTCTTCAAAAATACTCAATTTTTCTCTACCGCTCGGCAATGCGAAGACCGCATGTTAGGATCAGGCCACACCAAAAGATCGTGGATCTTGATCTGAGAATG